CACACAGCCATGTGGTGTGAGCATGGAGGTCTCGGCAGCCCTAAGCACACGTGTCGTGAGCGTGGGGGGGTCTCAGCAGCCCCGTACCCGCATGTCACAAGGGGGGGATGCCTCAGCAGCCCTGTGCACACACAGCCACCCCATACACGCACAGAGGCTCCGCACCGGCCGCTGTCCCCATGGAGCTGGCAGCCTGTCCCAGGCAGACCGAGTGTCCCCGGCCGCGGCGCCCGTGTCCTCCCCTGCACCGCCACCCCCGGGGGGGCCCCATGGCCGGCAGCGACCTCTGTCCCCGGCCGAGGCTGGCTGCGGTGCCCGTGGCATCACGTGGAGCGGGCACCAGCGGGGCCGCCGAGCCGGGAGCAGCCGCAGCGGCGGGCGGAGGGATGGACGGACGGACAGGCAGGTGGGACAGGACAGGACAGCGCAGGGGAGGGATGGGGAGGGATGGGTGCTCAGGGTGCCGGCGGCACCTTCCCCCCGGAGAGGCTGTGCTGGGTGCCCTGGGTGTCGCTGGGGACACCAAGGTCCCTCTGCTTGGCCTGGCCCAAGTGGCGCAGCCAGCCTAGGTGGCACAGGCTCACGTCCCCCACGTAGCCCAGTTCCCAGTGGCCTGTGCCAGCTGTCCCTGTTCCCAGTGACCCAGTACCGATACAGGATGATCCTAGCGTGGGTGCAGGGTTTTTAATGGAGGGGATGTACGCTGGGTACAGGTGTGGGGGTGCATGGCTGCGTGCGGGGCTGGCTTTGGGGTGGGTGCAGGTCAGGCTCCCTCTTTCCCCCCCCCCCCTCCGTGCCCCCTCCCCGCAGCACCAGCACGTGGCTGGGAGCCCCCCTGCAGCAGTTGCCCACCCCGGCGCTGACCCTGGACCAGGCGACGATGCGGCGCAATGCCGAGCGCATGCGGGAGCGCTGCCAGGCCCTGGGCCTGCGCCTGCGCCCCCACGTCAAGACCCACAAGACCCTGTGAGTGCGTCCCCAGTATCTGCCCCAGCACCCCCCAACATCCCCACACCCTCTTCCCCAGCATCTCCCTGTTCTAACTCCCAACATCCCCCTGGTATTCCCCACCTTCCCCACCAGTGTCTCTCCATCCTTCCCTCAAAATCCTCCTCTGGCATCCCCCCAGAGCCCCTCAACATTCCCCCCACCTTCCCCACCAGCATCTCCACATCTTCCTCCCTCAAATCCCCCTTCAGCATCCCCAAAAGATCGCCCTTAGCATTTCCCCATCCTCCCTCCAGCATTCCCCATCTTCCCTCCCAGTATCCCCCAGGAATCCTCCCCGGCAACCCCCCATCCTTCCCCCGTATTTCCCATCCAACATCCCACTTAATACCCCCCCTAGCACCTCCCCACCTTCTTCCCCATCATCCCCCCAGTATCCTCCCAGTATCCCACCCAGCATCACCCATTTTCACCCCCAGCATCCCCGATCCTGCCCCCAGCATCTCCCCCCACTATCCCTCCCAGTACCCCGCAATCATCCCAGCAGCAACCCCATCCTCTCCCCACCTTCTTCCCCATCGTCCCCCCAGTATCCTCCCAGTATCCCACCCAGCATCACCCATTTTCACCCCCAGCATCCCCGATCCTGCCCCCAGCATCTCCCCCCCATCCCTCCCAGTACCCCCCAATCATCCCAGCAGCAACCCCATCCTCTCCCCACCTTCTTCCCCATCGTCCCTCCAGTATCCTCCCAGTATCCCACCCAGCATCACCCATTTTCACCCCCAGCATCCCCAATCCTGCCCCCAGCATCTCCCCCCACTATCCCTCCCAGTACCCCCCAATCATCCCAGCAGCAACCCCATCCTCTCCCCACCTTCTTCCCCATCGTCCCTCCAGTATCCTCCCAGTATCCCACCCAGCATCACCCATTTTCACCCCCAGCATCCCCGCATCTCCCCACTTCTCCCCCCACTATCCCTCCCAGTACCCCGCAACCATCCCAGCAGCAACCCCATCCTCTCCCCACCTTCCCCCCCTGGTACCGCCGTAGCATGCCCCTCTCACCTCCCCACCACGTCCCCCAGCGAGGGTGCCGAGCTGGCCACCGGCGGCACGCGCCGTGGCATCGTGGTGTCCACCTTGGCCGAGGCCCGGTTCTTCGCAGCGGGGGGCTTTGACGACATCCTGTACGCTTACCCGCTGCCGGGGGGGCGGCTGCAGGAGTGCGCTGCCCTGGCCCAGCGCCTCGACGCCTTCCAGCTCCTCCTCGACAGCCCCCAGGCCTTGGCTCTGCTGCGCCAGCACCCGCTGCCCCCCGGCAAGCGCTGGCTCGTCTGGCTCAAGCTTGACTGTGGGAATGGCCGGGGTAGGTGGCACCCCCGTGTACCCATGCAATACCCTGGGTGAGGGACACCTCCTCTACAAGGGGGTTTTCACCCGCGCACCAGCCCCTAGGATGCTCGATGGGGTGGGATGCTCCCCAACAACTGAACCAGGATGGGGCGTTTAAAACACTCTTCCCCCAAAATAGTACTCAAGGATGTGCCGTGGGGTAGAGGTGGCCCAAAGCCCCATGAGGGAGGAGTTCTTCCCTGTGAGGGTGGTGAGGCCCTGGCACAGGTTGCGCAGAGAAGCTGTGGCTGCCCCATCCCTGGCAGTGTTCAAGGCCAGGTTGGATGGGGCTTGGAGCAACCTGGTCTAGTGGAAGGTGTCCCTGCCCATGGCAGGGGGTTGGAACTGGATGAGCTTTAAGGTCTCCTCCAACCCAGCACCCCAGCACCCACATCGAGACCCTCCTTGCACCCTGCAGCCGGTGTGCGCCCCACAGACCCCGGTGCCATGGCCCTGGCGCGGGCCATCGCCGAGGAGGCACCAGAGGAGGTGGCACTGGTCGGGGTCTATGCTCACTGTGGGAACACGTACGGCTGCCGCGACGTCCAGGCTGTCCAAGCCATCGCCAGAGCCACCACCAGCGCCGTGCTCGACTTCGTCACCGCGTGAGTGCCCGAACCCAGGGACCGGTGGAGTTAAGGGGTATTCTGCAGGGGGGGATGTCCCCATCCACACCACAGCCGTGTCTCCAACCCCATAAAGCCCCGGTGCCTGGTTGTAAATGCAAATCACCCCCATAAAAGGTGCCTTACAAAGCCCCCCCGGGGATCTGGAGGAGGATGTTGGCGGCTCCAGTCACCTTTGATGTAGCTTTGGTGGCGGGTTGTGACCTGTGTCATTGTCCCCCTCCTCCTTGTCACCCTTTTGTCCCAGCGGGGTTCTGCATCCTGGAGGGAATTGCTGCCGGATGGTTCCTGCTGAGGAGGTGGGGCGAGGTCAGTGGGGTCCCCTGGGACCCCCATCGCTCCCTACATAGGGATGTGCTCCCCAGTCCCACCCCAACCGGTTCTGGCACTGGTTTGTGATGGGGAAACTGAGGCATGAATGGAAACCAAGGCACGCAGGGAAACCTCCTGCCCCCCAATACCTCCTCATCCCCAAAGTTGGAGGGGCTGCTCTGGCATAGCTGGGGCTCCCAGGTACATCTTGGGCTGGCCCCAAGCACATCTGGTGGGTGCTGTAGCACATCTAGAGGGGTCCAGAAACATCAGGAAGGGGTCCCAGGCACATTGGGAAGGTGCCCTGGATTATCAGGGACAAAGGGGAGACCCGCCTCGAGTGGGGCTCTATGGCACATCTGGCTGGCTCCCTTGGGGTCTTCCTGGCACACAGGGGGGGGCAGCTCTGCCACATCTGGATGGCTCCCTTGAACGTCTGGGGTGCTCCCTGGCACATCTGGAGCTCTTTGAGGCACCACCACTCAGGTCCTGCTCCCCATGGTGCCTGGGGGTGCTGTCCCCCAGGGCACTCAGCAGGTCCCATGTGCCCGCAGGCTGCGGCAGGCGGGGGTGCCGTGTCCCCAGGCCAGCATCGGCTCCACACCATCCTGCAGCCACCCGGTGCCGGAGATGGCCCAGCTCACCGAGGTCCACCCGGGCAACTACCTCCTCTACGGTGGGTCAGGACCCCCCCCCCCCCCCAGCCCTGGTGGGACCCCCTGGGGTGGGATGCACCCCAGCCTGACCCGGGCACCATCATCTCCCCCCAGACCTGCAGCAGACGCTGCTGGGCTCCTGTCTGCCGGAGGAGGTGGCCATCCGCGTCCTCACCAGGGTCATCGGTCACTACCCGCACCGCAACCAGCTGCTGGTGGACTGCGGGTGGGCCGCCCTCAGCCTCCATGGCCGGGACCAGTCGCCCGCAGGCTGCGCCGCCATTGAGGGGCACCCCGAGCTCCGGTGAGCACCACGGCGGGACATGGGGGGAGCAGATAAGGGTGGGGATGTGACGGCGTGTCCCCACAGGCTGGTGGGGCTGACGCAGGAGCATGGGCAGGTGGGAGCCGTCGATGGACAGTTGGATTTTGGGCGCTACCCGCTGGGCAGCATCCTGGCTCTCATCCCGTTCCATGTGAGTATCGATCCCTTCATGCCCTGCCATGCCCTGCCGTGGCTCAGCGTTCCTACCCACCACAGGCCTGTGCCACCGCTGCCATGCACCCTGTCTACTACATCCACGCTGAGGGGAAGGTGGTGGAGCTCTGGCACCCCGTCCGCGGCTGGTAGGGGGGAGAGTGGGGAGCTGAACCCACACCGAGACCCTGCGCCTATGCCAGGACACTGCACCCACAGCACAGGGCTGCACCCGCGCCAAGGTCCCGCTACTCCCACACCGAGATCCTGCACCCACACTGGACACCCCGAGCCCCTGCACTCACCCCAGGGTGCTGCACCCCAATACCGCATCAATAAAGCTGCTTTTCCCACTTCCAGCCATTGTTGCCCCTGGGCAAGAAGGGGGCGAGCGGTGAGGGGGACACTCAGCGTAACCGGCGGGAAGCGGCGCGCTTCGGCTTTGTTTGGGTCGGGCCGGTCCCGGTGGGGCCGGTACCCCCCTGGCTGGCCGGGGCGGGACCCGAACCCTTAGAGACCCGAACCCAGCCCAGCCGGGAGGGGCGGAGTCCAGCGGAGAGCCCCCCGCCCCTCGGCTCGCAGCCAATGGCGGAGCGCCCCTCCCGGCCCGGCCCGGCTCGGGCCGGGGGGAGCCGCGCCCAGCCCCGCCGAGGCGGACCGGAGCGAGCCGAGCGGAGCCGGACCGGACCGGACCGGACCGAGGGGAGCCGAACCGAGGCGGAGCGGAGCGAAGCGAGCAGGGCCGGATCGGATCGGAGCGGATCGGAGCGGTTCGGAGCAGATCGGCTCAGCTGGGCTCGGAGCCCACGGGGCCGGGCCCGGGTCTCCGCGATGCGGCGGGGCCGTGCGGTGCTGCCGGGGCCGGGGCCGGTGCTGTTGCTGCTGCTGCTGCTGCTGCTCTGCTCGGTGCGGGCGGGACCGGGCGGGATGGGATGGGACGGGACGGGATCGGGACAGGAGCAGTGCGGGACGGAACTCCCCGGTACCGCTCCGGGACCAACCGGTGCCTCGTTGCACTTCAGTTTCGTTGTGTTTCTTTTTGGCTTGCTTTACTGTATTTGGGGTTATTTCAGTTTTGTTCGTTTGGGTTTAGTTTATTTAATTTGTTTTTATTTTATTTTACTTTATTTCGTTCTATTTTACCTGATTTAATTTTGTTTCATCCCGTTTCACTTTATTTCCCTTTATTTCATCTTATTTCGTTTTCTTTCTTTTTAGTTCACCTCAACCTATTTTATTTCGTGATCCTTTTTAATTTTTACGTTACTATTTAATTTACTTTTTCCATTATTATTTTCCCGTGATTTTCCAAGTCCATTTATTTCCCCTTATTCTTTCTTTCTATTTATTTTTTAACTTATTCCTCAGTTCTTTACCCCAACCCGGTCTATTTTACCCTCCCCCTCTTCCCAAGCACTGGTACCCGTGACCCCCCCCCCCCCAGGCACCCCTTTACTCCTCCATCCCGAGTGGGACCACGGGGTGCCCAAGACCCCACCGAGGGGTGGGGAGCACAGCGGAGGTTTGGGAGGGCTCTCGGTTCCCCCCCCCCCCCGGGGGCAGGAAAGGGGCAGATCCTGATGCCGCCCCCCCCTCCCCCCCCACGTAGGTTCCGGGTCGCGGCGAGGAGTGCGGGAGGCGGACGGCGGCGGGGGGGTGCTGCACCCCGTGCCCCCCCGGGTTCGGTGTCTCGGAGCCCTGCGGCCACGCTGACACCCGCTGCCAGCCCTGCGCGCACAGTGAGTACCCCGCGGCCCCCCCGCACCCAAACCCACCCCAGCACCCACCCTCACCCCCCCCCCCCCCCCAGACCGGACCTTCTCTGCGGTGAGCAGCGCGGAGGAGCCCTGCCTGCCCTGCACCCCCTGCCCGCTGCCCCCCGCGAGGCCCTGCACCCCTGCCCGCGACACCCTCTGCACCCGTGAGTGGTACCCGGGTACCCCCTGCTCTGTGTGTGTGTGTGTGAGCCAGGATGGGGCGGCCGGGCCTCAGTGTCCCCTCTGAAGGTGACACTGAGGCAGCGGCTGGGCAAACGGAGCTCCCCTGACCTTTTGGGGGGGTCTCCGTCCGAACCCCCACAGATGAGGAGCTGGTGACGGGGGACCCCTCGCCTGCCACCCCTGAGCTTGTGTTGCCACCACCGGAGGGCAGCGGCGAGGACATCATCCCCGTGTACTGCTCCCTCCTGGCCGCCGTCGTGGTGGGGCTCCTGGCTTACGTGGCCTTCAAGTGGTAGGTCTGGGGGGGGCACACGGGACAATGATGGGGGGGAGCAAGACCCCGGCACCCCGGGTGACCTCCCCCGGCCGCGGGCAGCTGGCGCACATGCAGGCAGAAGCAGGCGCTGGCCAAGGCGCGGGCAGGGGACATGGGGACATGTCCCGAGGGGGAGAAGCTGCACAGCGACAGCGGGGTCTTCCTCGACACCCACAGCCTGCAGGAGCCCCACCAGCCCGGCAAGGGTGAGCACCCACCACCCACAGCACGTCTGTCCCCCAGTGGCATCGGGATGGGGTTGAGGAGCATCACGGGGGGGTTGGGGTCAGGGTGCATCTGTCCCCATGGAGCATCTTGGATGGGGTTGGGATGCTGTTGGGAGCACCACCTTGGCCCAGGGAGCATCCATATGGGTTTGGGGTGCCACCATGGCCTGTGGAGCACCTGTATGGGGTTGGGGTGCACCTAAACCCCAGGGAGCACCCATGTGGGGTTGGGAAGCGTCCCTACCTTGGGGTTCACCTGGGTGGGTTGGGGAGCACCCATGCCCCAAGGAACATCCATACTTTGGGAGCATCTGCACAGGTTTTGGGGGGCACTCACACCCCAAGGAGCACCCAGGTGGGGATGGGATACACCCACAGTCCAGGGAGCATCCTGATGGGGTGAGGGTGCATATTTGCACCAGGGAGCACCCAAATGGGGTCAAGGAGCACCCATGCCCTATGAAGGACCAAGATGCGGTTGAGTAGCACTCAGATGAGGTCAGAGAGCATCCAAACGAAGCTGGGGAGCACCCATGTCCTGAGAAGCACCCAGATGGGGTTGTGTAGCATCCATGGCATGGGGAGCACCCAAATGGGGTTGGGGAGCACCAAAATGGGAATTGAGGTGCCAGCTCTGCCCCTCGCTCCCCCGCAGCCCCCTACCCCGAGGGGCACCCATTCAGCACAGTGCCACCGCAGCGCCAGGAGGAGCTGGAGCGGCTGCTGGAGAGCGGGGGTCCCGGTGGGGACTGGCGCAGCCTGGCCGCACACCTGGGCTTCGGCCCCGAAGCCATCGGCACCTTCGGCCGGGGCCGGGCGCCCACCCGCACCCTGCTCAGCGCCTGGGCCAGCACCGAGGGGGCCACGCTGGAGGCCCTGTGCCAGGCGCTGGGTGCCATCGGGCGGCAGGATGCGGCGCGGCACTTGGCTGGACCCGGGGATGCCACCTCTGCTGTGTGACCAAGGACACCGGGGCACCGGCGGCTCCTCCTGCCAGAGCTCTTTGGGGTTTTCTATGACTGGGTTTTGTACTTTTCTAGGGGTGTTGGGGGCGGGATGGGGACAGGGATGTGATTTGGTGGCTGTGGGTGGTGGTGGAGGGTGGGAGGTGAGGGACGCGGCTGGTCCTTACATGGGCACATTAAATGTGTCACTTGTGTGCCACCAGAATGGGTGTCCTCAGTGTCCGTGCGTCCCCGTAAGCGCGTGTCCATGGGATGTGCCCCTTCAGGCGTTCACGCATCCCCTGGTGTCCATGTGTCCCCACAAACGCATCAGTAGGATGTGTCCTCAAGCTTTCAATTGTCCCTGGGTGTCTGTGTGTCCCCACCAGCACCTGTTCCCATCACGTGTCCTCAGATGTCCATGTGTGTCCACAAGGTGCATCTCCATGGGATGTGTCCCCCTCAGGTGTCCGTGTGTGTTTCAAGCACCCATGTACCCCCAAGTTTCTGTGCGTCCCCCACAGCCACACGCCCCCAGGATGTGTTCCCTCTGGTGCCTTTGTGTCCCCACAAGCGTGTGTCACCACAATCCCACATTCACGTGTCCCCAAGCTACGTGTCTCCAGCTGTCCATGTGTCCCCCCACGTCCCACACCTGTCCCCATAAGGACAACACGCGGGTGGGTGGCACTGGTGGGGGGGGACACCACCACCACACACCTCAAGAGTGGCACTGAGGGACACTGACAGAAAAGAGCTATTTCAGCCCCAAAACACACACAGGCACCCCTGCCCTGAGCTGTGTCACCCCAAAACCCCATCCTGCTCCCCCCCTGGGGATGCTAACGCTGATGGGGGGTCTAAGAGCAAGGAGGGACACACCACCCATTTCCCTACCGGTGCCACTAGTAGGTTCCTCCCTGCCCCGGCCATGCCAAACCTCTTTTGGGTCCGGGGCCAGTGTTGATTTTTTGTCATTTTTTCTTTTTATTTAATTTTTTTTTTTTTTTTTTTTTACATAAAAAGTTCCGTAAAAATTGGATAAAGTAAAATGATTGAAGCAGTAAAATCAATCTTATCAACATAGCACGAGGCCTGCCGCAAACCCGGGGGCAGCCCCGCTCCGCGCTATTTACAAGGAGAAGGGATCAAACCTCGCGGAACCAAAAGGAACCAACCAAGAAACGAAATTAAAAGCCAAGAAGTAAGAAACCCCCAAACTATCCTTACAAAGTGTTCCCGTGGGATCGGCACGTCCTGGGCTAGAAGCAGGGGGGGAAAAAGGGGGAAAACAAAGGAAAAATTATCCATATATTCACATACAGGTTAAAATATAATACAGAGGTTGGTGGTGCGCCCGAACCGCTCCCGCCGCAGGGAACCGAGTTTATTTCCTTTCTCTGATGCAAACCAAAGCGAAATCAAAGGAGGGAATGCACAGGTTGGTGTTTGACGTGGTGAATCCTGGTGGAGTCGGGGTATCCCGGGGCTCGGCGCGGCCGAGGCGGAGCTCACTCCAGGTCCGTGTCCTCTTTGGGTTTGTAGATGGCCCCGAACTTCTGCATGTATTTCTTGATGTACTCCTTCGTTTTGTGTTTCACGTTCTCGTTGCACTCCAGGTCCTCCGGGTTCTTGCAGTATTTCAGCTCCTTGTTCATGACTCCGTGGGTGAGCTGCAGGGAATACTCACTGTTATTCCCGATAATGCGCACCCTGGGGACTCCCTAAGCCGTTCTGTTACCATCCCCTATATTCTGCTATTATTCCCCAACTATTGGCCATTATTCCCCTATTATTCCCTAAGCATTTCCTGTTATTGCCCAATAGTCCCCATGTATTTCCTGATATCCCTCAAATATTGGCTATTAGTCCCCAGCTATTCCCCAAGCTATTTTGCCATTATTTCCCAACTATTTGCTACTTTCCCAAGTATTCCCCAATATTCCCCAAATATTTGCTATTATTGTATCTATTTCCCCCAAATATTCCCTAAATTTTTCCCATTATTCCCCATTTTTTCCCCCAATATTCCCCACACGTCCCCAATATTGCCTAAATATTTCCTACTGTTCCCCTAATATTTTCTTTTCCCAAATATTCCCCCAATATTCCCTAAATATTACCCAAATATTTGCTATTTTCACCAAATACTCCAATATTCCCCAAGCATTTCCTATTAATCTCCAAGCATTCCCCCAATATTCCCTAAATATTGCCAAAATATTTGCTATTTTCACCAAATACTCAATATTCCCCAAGCATTTCCTATTATTCCCCAAATATTTCCTGTTATTCCCAAACACTTGCTTATTTTCCCCACAAATATTCCCAAAATATCTCCTATTATTCCCAGAACTATTTTGTTATTATTCCCCAAATGTTACCTACTTCCCCCTTCAACATTCCCCATTATTCCCCAAACATCAGCCGATGCCCTCAACACCACTCTGTTCCTTCCCTTATCCTCCCATCAGGCGGCAGACGGGGTGACAGAGCCGCCCCAGGGATGAAGGGGCCACCCCACGTGTCCCCGCGTGTCCCCACCTTGCGCGCCAGGTGTTTGAAGTCCTCGGTGGTGGTGATGCGCCCCACCTTGCAGTCGGGTTTGCGGTACGGGTTCAGGCACTGCACGATGAACTGCGACATCTGCGCCAGAGGAGAACAGGATCTGGCCCTGCCCGCGCTCACCAGCCCCAGGGCAACGCGGCCCCGAGGACCCAGTGACCCCATGGATGGTGACAGACCCCAACCCGACTCCCGGCACTGGGGGCACTCACTTCTTTCCTGAACACCTCCTTGCTCTTCTTGGCCAGCTCGCTGGATGTGTCCGCTTCCGCTGTCTTGGGCTTCTTGGAAGACTAGAATGGAGGGAAGGAAGAAGAGGATGCTCGACATCGCCCGGAGCGAGCCAGGATCACCCATCCCTGTCCCCACCTTGAGCACAGTAATCCTCCTGTCCAACCCTACCCCACAGCCAGGCAGGCAGTGCACACTTCCCTGCCTTGTCCCAGTGAACTTCCCACCCACTGCCAACACGCACTGGTCCTGGTCCTGGTACACTTCCCAGCCCGGTCTCAGCATGCTTTCCAGCAGCACTCTCTTTAGCCCAATCCAGGCACCCTTCCAAGCCTGGTCCCGGTGAGCTTCCCAGCCTACTGCCGGCATGCTCTCCACCCCACTCCTAGCACACTTCCAAGTCCATTCCCAACAAAACTCCCAGCCCAGTCCCGGTGAGCTTCCCAGCCCAATGCTCACACGCTCTCCAGCCTAATCCAGGCATGCTCCTGGTAAGCTTCCCAGCCAAGTCCCAGTGTGCTCCCTACCCAGTCCTGACACGCTTCCCAGTTCAGTGCCAGTGTACCTCCTGGCCGGATGCTGGCATGCTCCTTACCTCAATCCAGGCATGGTTCCCAGCCTGCTCCCCATGAGCTTCCCAGCCCAGTGCTGGTGCACTCCCCACCCTGATCCTGGCATGCTTCCTAGCCCAGTGCTCCAGCCCAGTACCAGCACACTTCCCAGCCTGATCCTGGGCTCTCCAGCCTGGTGCCAGCACACGCAGAGTGCTCCCCAGCCCAGTCCCAGCGCACTTTCCAGCGTGCTCCAGCCACACTGCTGGGCTGGGAGCACAACCCCCTGGGAGATGCAGGGCCCACTCCTCACCCTTGTCTTCTTTGGGGAAAAAAAGCTCGAAAAAGGGTGTGAGGTGGTCCTGGGGGGCAGGGCTGTTCTGGGGGGAGATAAGGGGGAAGCATAGGTTGCCCCCTCCCCGTTCATCTCCAAATTACCAGCACAACAATCATTGGCAGGGATAGATCCAGCCTGGATGCACACCCAGGTGAAGGGAACACTGTCCTAACCCCCCTCTGTGGGCTGATGGAGCAACATGTATTCATCCCGTTAACCAAGGCCATGGCTCCGGCAGAACCATCCCCACTGGAGCCGGCACGGAAGCTCACCAGTGGAACCTCGTGCTGAAAGCACTGCAATGGCTGGGACTCTGCCAGCGAGAATTTACAGTGGATTTTAGAATCATGGAACGGTCTGTGTTGGAAGGGACCTTCAGAGGTCACCTAGTCCAACCCTCCTGCAGTGACAACAGGATCAGTCTGGCTTTGAACACCTCCAGGGATGGCGCATCTACCACCTCTCCTTAGCTACAGACGATCATGGAAGGATAAAGGTGAATTTTACAGGGATTTCTGACTGTTCCCCTAAATACTAATCCCCCAGAGCACAAACATGGCTGACTTAATTTGCTGCCTGCTTTAATGGAGTGGAAATCACAGCGGCTGCACCCCAGTGAGCATCCACACATGCCAGCCCTGTGGGCTCTGCCTTCCAGCCCTGCGACCTTCTCAGCTTCAAGAAAATGGAAAGCAGGATCTCTCCTCTGGCGCTGTTTTTCAGGAGAGGTTTGTGTGTGGCAGGTTATCCTGATTGGATTTTAAAGATGGAGACAGCAAACCAGCTTGTTACAGGCTTGAAAAGCTGGGGGAGATTTGCTCTTTGGAAGTGGCTTAGTGCTTCTTTTAACTTAAAAAAAACACCATTTTTTTAAAGTACTTAACACAGAAAAAAGCAGGATCCAGCCATCCCACCCCTTTCAAATTCCAAAGACTTGCCTGGCTGAGGCTGGAGGGCAGAGCTGCACAATCCCGTGAGCAAACCACTGCGGGGTTTAAATCAACCCTTGACAGGGAGGTTTTACTGCCCAGGGCTGTCCTGAGCGAGCACTGGTGTGTCTCTGGGCTGGCTGCACATCAAAGCTCCTCGCTCCCTGCCCCGGGGCTCGGGCAGCAACATCAAAAGGCCAGTGATGGGGAGCAGATGGCTCCCTGCTGGCTCCCAGCATGGCACCGGATCCGGCACCAGCACAGTGGCGGCATCATCAAGCCCTGCCACCTTCCATTACCAAGACCTTCACCATCCCCAGGACCTTCTCCATCTCCCCAGCATCTCCAGCACACCCCAGTTTCTCTTAATTCCCCTAAGACAGCACAAAGGAGGAGTGATTTTCTATGCGGGGGTCAGTTTGGTTAACAGTGAGACTGAGCTTATCAAAGGACTTCAGCCTCTGTGGACATGACCACAGTGCTTCTCCTATAGCTCCTCCAAAGCATTCCCCTAATCCAG